CATCCTGTAAGAGGGTGAGAAAATCTTTACCAATTCATCTTGCTGCAAAGTAACAAGTAGCCCTACCCTTTCCTCGCTAGATGCAAAAAATAAGGATTTATAAGTCGAGACTGATTCTCGTGGAGGTTAAAATACCACCAATCAGGGCCCAAGGACCAGTTACTGACCCCAACGTCTGGATTAAAGAGAGATTCAGCACAATTAAAATGGGATTTCTATCGTCTCGTGAGCCGCCTTGCGGCTCAAGTGGAGGAGAAAATTAGAGAGAAAATGTCTTGGACCATGCAGGGTAACTATTAATTTCCATGAACTGATTTGATGATTTTCCTTTTGAATTTCCCTTTGGTTAAGCAAACGTGTTACCGAAATGGACGTTTTATGTAGTTATCATAATTACTTTTTTAATTTTCAATTTTTTTCTTTTTAGGTAAACGACTTTATAACAACCGAGCTTGAAGAGTCTGTTTAAAAAAGGTTTTGGACAAGAAATCTCAAAATTAAAATTCAGTTATGACAAGCCAAAATTAATTTATTATATATACCTACCTGCATCCTGAATCTGACTCCAGGTCGAAAATTTGAAACTTGAGTCTCATCACCCTACCATCTGGAATCGAAACGTTGTAAATGCAGTTCATACTGACTGCATAGACGCCATCTGGGTTTGCAGGACTTTTCAGCCTATTGTTCACTACTGACCCACATAAAACTGAAATGTAAAATAAAATACTTCAATCTTATCCTTATCCACTTAGCTGAATCCAGCCCAGGTTACACAGGAAAAGGACATGCAAACCCACAGGTTAAGATGAGCGAAGTTTATTTCTACATTGTAGTCATGAATTTCCCCTTCAAAGCTAAGCAAATTATGTCTGTTTGTTTTGCGTGTGTTCCGATTTGCGGGGAAATTGACAACCCTAACCGTAAGGTTATACAAGAGTTGCAGAGCTTTGAGGTAACCGAAAATGGTCTGTAAGTTGGATTTTTCTGAACATTCAGATTTCTTCAATAAATTAAACGTAGAAAATAAGCACTTTCTTGTTTTGAGGTTTAAATATGTCTTAGCGGAGCTCCACGGGTACTCGAGGCGGCGCGAGCTTAGCCTCATAGCTAACAAATTTGGTTCTTTATCCATCCGAGAAATTTAAATTTGGGTAGTCACTTGTCGTATGCCTGTCCGTCTGTCTTCCGCACCACGGAAATGTTATCAAAAAATGAGGCGGCGCGAGCTTAGCCTCACAGCTAACAAAATTTGGTTCTTTATCCATCCGAGAAATTTAAAATTGGGTAGTCACTTGCCCGTATGCCTGTCCGTCTCTCTTCCGCACCACGGAAATGTTATCAAAACGGGGTATCCGTTGACCAGTATCACATGACCTCATCGCGGGCTCAGATGTTGACTCATCGAAGTTTTCGCACAGTTTTAAAGAAACAAGAAATGCTAACACCATTTCATGGTTACGTCATTGGGCAAGGCTATAAGCGTAAAATGCTATAAGAGCAAATATTATTTGCAGGCTAATTGTAACGCTTAAGACTATTTTAATAGTGGATGGGTGATATTATCTTCATTTCAGAGAAGGAGTTATCATGTAATGCGCGCTTGATCATTTCATGGAAAGCGCGCAATAGAAGAATTAAATTATTATTATTATTTATTATTATTATCAAAATGATAGACGTATTGACCTACTTCGCCTTTTAAGTCGCTCGCTTTAACAAAAAATCACGTATGCATGTTGTATACTTTATTAGGAAAATGTGGCGCATTTGATGTTGATATGCTCTTCAATCAATTTTTTGCGTAAAATGCGAGTTTATCGCAATTTCGCCTATTACCAAAAGCAGTAGCCTCCCACGTAGACATTCTTAGGGGTTCGTCACGCGTTCCCCGGGCAGGAACACGTGACGAACCCCTAAGAACGTCTGCGAGGGAGGCTACAAAAGCAGTCAAACAGTTTTAAATTATAACAATATCACCTCAAGCATGAAGAAATGCTTACTTTTCTTAATTATTTAAGTAAATCTAGATTATTTATAAATAAAATGGCGGCTATTTTCACAACAGTTCTTTAACGGGGCCGCATGGCATAATGTTCATTAATGAATTTATTATTCCAATGTTGGATCCGTTGGTAGTTGTAGATTTCAGATTCATCTGCATTCCTGCATGCATAATGAGCAGTGAATTCACACTCGAGAGAGAACAATGAAATTTCTACCTACTCAGATTTCTTGAATTTGATGTAAATGTCTTCAAAGCAATTTTATCCATTCAAAGATTTTTCAATCCGACCAAATACAGAGAGGTATCGTTAAAAAAATCACTGCTCACTACGCATATGTGAAAGAAGGCAGATTTGAAATCCTGGGGTCAATTAAATAAAACTTTTACAAGACAGTGTAATTTTTAATTGTAGCTATTGTTTTCGGATCCTAAGACAATAGCTACACTTAAAAATTACACTTGTAAAAGTTTTATTAAATTGATCCCTGGTTGCGGCAACGACTCTACATATCGTACAACGGATTCATTTTTTAAACAAATCAATTCATTAATTAATAGAATCTATAGGGGTAAGCTTGACCTGTATAACATAGCAAGAACTCCAGAGGGGTTGCAACCGCACTTTCTCGTACCACGGGTGTAAGTCCGAGGGTTAAAGACTGACGTGAATTTATTTCTTCTTTAACAAATTATCTCGTGAAACATTGGTACGTGTATATTGGGGACAGGAAAGAATATTTATCAGTGTAGGAGCGTAAGAATGTGGGAAAACAGACTTCTAGTCGTTGAGGAAGCATATGTGATCAGTCGTTATCATAAGACAGCAAGAGTATCGTCTACACAGGCAGGGTACTGTTTTGCTACGTATTTCTTCACCAGTGTTATATCCATCCTATGTACTGAGCAGCATGCATGTCATAATGTCGAACTTTAAACCTGATGTTCAACTGAAAGAATACAGAATGTAACGTATTTTTTATTCTACTCATGGAGAATTATAATGTTGAACGTAGTCACGTGCTTATGAGACGACCTCATCGAGAAAGATAGACTGCTAAACAGTCCGTATTTTTGCGTATTCAAGTACGCGCGAGCAGTCAAACGTTTGGTCTGGACGAGGCTGGAAACAGAGAGCGAGAGTGGGGACGCTAAAACTTTTGCATGCGTTATATTCTTTCGAATTACCCGCTTCTCCCAGCCACGGGCATTCCGATTGGCTAAATTTCAATGCAAGCTGTCAACAAGCTGTCAAGTAATTTTTTCAACAAGTAATTCGCGATATTCCGTACCGCGCGTGATGAATAGATTTCTAAAGCTTTCGCTGTAAAATGACGGATGTCGATTGCCTGGATTTGCTCGCGCAAGAACTGGGATTTGTTTTAAAATCGGAGCAGAGGGAAGCTTTGGAGATGCTGCTCAGAGGAAAGGATGTTTTCTATGTCCTAACAACAGCCTTATTTATCAGATGTTTGTTCATGCAAAGAGTTCTTCAAGTTCCGTGCAACGGCCGACAGTCATTGTTATCACGCCTGTGTAAAAAGGGGGATCGGTAGAAAACACACGACTTTTACCTCATGCCAAAATAATTGTTTTCTTTTGTCGAGTAGATTACGCTTTGGAGGAAAACGTTTTGACTGGGCAAATGTGAAATTTGACCGCTTATTAAATATATTTCATACTGAGAGGTTGTGACACGCATATTGATTTTCTCTGGTCGGCATGACTTGCCCACTGATGCAAGAGCATTTTCTTTTTTGGCCTCTTTAGAAATGTAAAGTTCTTCATTGCGGCTGATTAAGGGTTTTAGGCTGTTTAATTTCTCCAAAGTGCCCCCTGGATTTGAATAATTCTAAGCCATTTTCTTTGTGTCCATGAATGTGACTTTTTCCTGCAAGGTTTTGTCACGCTGGGCCCAGATCGTTAGCGTTTTTAGCAGGATGTTTAAATTCTCACGGATAGTGATTTACAGAGCTAAATCACGAAGAAGTGGATTGGAATGAGGGAATTTACCCATTCTTTTCAATCGAAATAATTGTTCATTGTCAGTTGGCGTGTTCAGTTTTTCTCTAATTTGGGAAAGCATCGCAGCTCAGTTTCTAACCTTTGTTTCGCCGGAGAGCAAACTCTTGTGGAGAAAGATTCTCCTTCCTCGAGGACAACGAAAAGTTCGTTTTTCAGTAGGTCGGCCAACTTTGGTAACGTTTCTCCTTTTCTGGTGGGGGCAACAAAAACATTTTCCGAGCTTACCCATCCACTCATAAAATTGCCGAACTGTGTTTTGAAATTCTGCAATTATCCGACGCGCTCGCTCGGCTCTTTCGGCTTACCCCACCTTCGAGGAGCAGGCACAGGCTTTGTTTGCGTACTGCCACTTCCACTCATTTTTGATCCTCTACTTTATATACTACATTTGACATAGAAGCAATGCTAATGCTAGGTTTTTTTTCTCTCTCCTCACACGCCTTACGGGCGTGTGAGGCTCGCGCGCTTCGCGCTTACCGATTTCTTTACTGATTTTGAGAAAAAAAAAACCGATTGTTTTGTAGTCTACTGGAAAGAACATTTTTCTCACTTCCTCTCGAAGAAAGACGTATAATACGGTCAAACATCAGTACTATGTAGTAAAATCTCAGTACCATCTTCTTCAATCCCCGATATCAGGATGTTAATCTTGAGAGCACAGTTTAAAAAAAAAAATGGCGAAATCGTTAAGAAATACTGCACTACAGCATAACCCCGAATTAAAGATTGTATAGTGTTCCTAGTAAGACTTAGAGTTTGCTTAACAGCAAAAAATGCTGAAATTACCTCTAATTTTGCCTATTTTATCAATATTAGTTGTATTGTTTGTTTATCAGTTTTCTCAAAAATGCCGCGCACCTCACCTTGACCTCTAAACATCAACTTTGACATCTTACCTGAATGGCAACTTACTTATATTCTTTATTTTATTCTATTTCATTTTATTTACTTTTTATGAAAGAATCCCTTCTTATTTCAACATACCATTTTGATTTTCAGTAAATAATATCGTGAGCTGGAATCCCGGGTATTGTTGAGAAACATCAGAGTGGAATGTTATTAATGCGTAGTTTCCATTTACCAAAACTACCTTTCCACTAAGTTCGCGCCCACAATATCTACCGCGTGTTCTTTTGTTATCATCTACAATCCTCAAATAATCATACCTAGAAGAGAAAAAATATGTTTTTTACTTTTCAAGGGCAGTTAAATTCTTAGAAATAACCCTAACCGCCAAGACAACATAAAAGCCTCTCATGTTCTCCTGCCTCAACTAATTGCGAGTCGTGCTTTATGGTGGAGTTAACGAAGCTCCAAACGTTTCTGTGGAATATCAAGCGCCGATCAAATTCCTTCATTTTCTGTTGCACTCCAGTCACTCCCGAGCAGTCGAATTGCCGCCGTCTACAAATGCCAATTAACGTTAGACAAGAGGTTTTTATGTTCTCTTGCTTTCGACCTACTTACAGATGACAAAGGCCTGTAAAAGGGACTTAACTCACCTCAACTCACGTAAAAACCTTGAGGCGTGAAGTCTTAATTTCGATTTTAAAAAAGCTATGGCATTTCCCAGATCGAAAACCATATCATTGGTCAGATCTCGGTTTAGCCAATGAGAAGTCTCTACACCTTTTGAGCCTATCTACGAGCACCAGCAACGAACATTCGATTTTGTAAATAACAGTTTGAATTTTGTTCATTAGGCTGCGAAACAGCCGACTCCCATCGCTCTCTGCCACTAGGAACATTTCGAGAGAGAGTCGTCTGCGCCGAAACAACAGAAATACCATACTGATGAAGTAAAAGCTGTCACCTGGTCAATGACTAATGAATGCACTGTTTAGGCAGTATTTTAGGAGAAGAAAGAATCGAAGAATGGTAGAAATTATATTTTTTTCGGAAGTAATCTTTTACAAAATATCATGGTTTCTATATATGTTACTCTACTTCAATTTTTTATCCGAGAGCAAATGACACATTTGGGAACCATTTGGGGGGTGGTTTGGCTCCACTTGATCTATCAGTGCGGGAAGGGGATCGTTAAAATCTTGCTATGGCGTTAAATTGTGCTTAATGTTGGCAGAAAACGCTGTGTTATGTCAAACGAATTATGATGGCTGTTTGTGTTATTTCTTTTATCTAATAATTACTAATTCTTTCCAAATCAACATTCACAGTTTTGTTGATTTTCAGCCTTGAGTTAAGCCGCGCAACACGAGCGTTGGATGGGGTGAACCAAAATTGTCTAAAAAATTCGAGCGTTTTAAAAATACAGTCCAGCGGATTGGGGCCGTTAAGTGCAGGTACATGAAAGTCTTTCAACGCACAAGAAATGAGCGAAATCTATTTTTCACGCCATATCGACCAGATCGCTAATTTACTGGCAGACACTCTTTAATTCTTTTAAGAGTATGAAGAGTATTAAAAGAATTAAAGAGTATCAGTCTGTTTTACATTCTTCTTCGTGTTATCAGTTTCTGAAACTAGGTATATCATTATTTTAAAATTAGAGGGCTATTCTCATTGGCCGGTGTTTTTCCCGGCGGGATATGCTTACCTGACACCCTGGGTTTTCAGAAGCCTTATATATTTTGCCTTATTTCTTTAAGCAATAGATCACACTTTCTATGAGTTTACCGGCGTGATAACCCACGCGGGATGTTGGGAGAACACGGGAAAAGCTTGTAAATCACGAGCCGAAGGCGAGTGATTTACAAGCTTTTCGATTGTTTTCCTAACATCCCAAGTGGGTTATCACGCCGGTAAACCCATAGAAAGTGTGGTCTATTGCTTTTATAAAATAACTTTTAGTAGAATGGAGTCTTTTTGGTAAAAAATATGGTTTTAGTACCGTGATCAAGTCATGTCTTCAAGTCAAGTCATGTCTCTAAAGTCACCATAAGGCAATCATGACTCGCGATTTAAAGCGCTGAACTTTCTCAAAACTCAGTTCAGTCAAACAACAAACAGTAGCACTTCAAAACACGAGTTTTTGCACTCATTACAGTATGTGGTCCTTGGTCCGCGTGTAAAAGTCATTAACTTGAATATTTTACACGAATCTTCATGTAACGAGCTGAAATACTCTCTGAAGATAGCTTTTATGTTTCTGTCGATAATCCTGAAGTTTCAAGTTCCAGACAAAAATATTTTGCTTGGAATTCGCAAACAGGCGACCGTTTTCGATGGTCCTTGGTCCGCGTCTCAGGTAAGCAACACGATAAAAACGTAAAAATGTTATAGTTTCCACACGAAAACGTGATTTTCACAGTATTTCTGTATTTTTTTCTTTTTTTGATGCAATTAAGCTAAAGTTTTTTTCGGAAGATGTTGTGAGCATAAAATAATCTGCTTTTCTTTCAAAGACTTCAGACAGTCTCCTCGAGTCTCCCACACGAGTGTCGACGAGCGGTTTTTAGCGCGGTCGAAAATAATTACCAAAAACTCTGTATGTACTCGAGGTATTAAAAAAGAGAACTTGTAGACATATATAGGGACGACTTTCAAAACATTCTTCGAAAACAAAGGCCGTCGCTTTTTACTTTGGAAAGTTTTATTCAACCAAGGTCATAGGACGCGGACCAAGGACCGCTAAGCGGAATTTGGTGATATTTTTCAAGAGTCGCTAAAACAAAAAATTCAGCGTCTACAGCAATATGCTTCCAACAGCAGAAATAAGTTGATCTGAAAACCTGTTCTGCAAAAAGGTAAGTCTTCCCGTTGCGTTTTAGTTATTCGCAGGCTAAGTAAACATGACCACGTAATTTACGGTGCCGCAAAAATCCAAACTTCAAGAAAGACAAATTAACCTACCTGTCAACAAACTTAAATTTCGCGTCTTCACCCGCAGCAAGAAGCCTGAAACTTCGTTATATGAAAGAATGCTAATCAGTAAGTCACGATATCTTTCACTATTCAACGTATTTTTTTTCTTGACGAAATATTTTATCATTTTCGGAAAAGACGCGGACCAAGGGCATCGGGGACCTGCGCGGACCAAGGACCACATATTGTACATGATAACTTATGAAAGCTGTTTTACAGGAAAAGTCATCATTTATTCATGCGAACATACAATGAAAGAACACGTTCATGGTTTGTTTACTACAGAAGTAGAAATTAATTGAACATCAGACTGTACGCAGCTGTATTATAAGATCTGTTTTCTGGACTCTATTATGATTAAGAAATGCTGCGGTAACGACGTGGCTGCATTTGCGAAGTTGTCGCATGTAACTTTATATACACGTACAGCGACCGATGGAAATATGTCAGTGGTGGAGAAAGGTTTCTTTGACGTAGCCAAATATTGGCGTTAATATTTGTCGATTTGTAAAGTCAGGTATACTGGCATCGATATCACCGAATAATTTGTGCAAATGTTGGAAAAAACCAGCCTGAACCTCTGCAGCTTTCATCATCGTTGGCAGCTTGTTTACAACCTACGGCGGCCGATTTTGTACCATATCTTGATCAGAGATCTCTTTTTGGAACAATTTCTTTCATAAGGAATTTAATTTTGACATAAAATAAATCAAGAATGCTAAAACTATCCGTTTTGTTGCTGGTTGGCACATGGTTAAGTTTTCCTGGAGGCTTTCTACACCAGAAATTCACATAGTTGTTGTCTTTCTCTGCGATTTGGCATCGTCGTGAAATGTGAACTGCTTTCTAGCTTTGTACTTTATTAGCGGAGCTCTGGGACGCGAAGCGCGCCTCCGGAGCACCATGGGTAAGTAAATCTACCCATCCGAGAAAATTTGGTAATCACGGGCGCTTTCCATTTAGGAAAAAACCCGGAAATTTCGGTGGGAGCAAAAGTGGAATTTCCGATCAGTAAAAAGTTGTTCCATTTGGTCGTAAACCCCGGTACGTCGCGGTGCCCGACGGGACACCAAGATGGCTGCCGAGTTGGTAACAATTTTACACGAGTTGGTAGATGAAGAGGTGGAAATTTCATTTGGTTTTGATGAGGAGGAAGACATTAATGTATTAGTAGCCGGATCAACTTTTATGAGAAGAAAGTTAAATAGGAATGACGCGTTTTTTGAAGTTGTTGTACCAACGTATTCGGTGGATGAGTTTAAATCCCACTTCAGAATGACAAGAGGCACACTTGAAAAATTATGCCGAGAAGTTGCAGCCACGGGAACTATACCGGAAGGAAACCGTTATGGAAGACCGCCAATTCCTGTGCAGTGCCAGGTCTTGGCATTTGTTTGGTTTATGGCCAATTCAGAAGTCATGAGATCGGTATCGGATCGCTTTAACATAACGCTGAGCAGTTTGTCCAGAGTTATTCAACGCATTACAGAAGCTTGTATTTCCATGCGACAACAGTATATCAAGTTGCCTACTGGTACGTTTACTGTTTGCCATGTTGAAAGGGTCATAAAAAAAATAATCAGCTTAAATAAAGTAGTTATATTTGAGGAGGCACATGCACGGATTGATTATTAATTTAGTAATGTTGCTTTTCGAAGGTAGGAGAACAGGGGGAAGGCGGGGTTCCGTGGGAAACCATGGATGAGGGTGTGTCACCCATCGCGCAGAATGCGTATTGTTCTCGCGACATTTACTTCCAGTTCAACAAAGTTTGTAGATCTTTCAATATCACGCTTTGAGCGCGCAGAAGCCGGTAGACGCTCAGTGTAATGGTCTGTAATCAGTGTGTAATGTTTTGCTTCCGTATTTGAAAAGGTTTTAGCTCTTATACAAACCAAAACGGTGGGTAAATGAGTTTACATTCCTTAAGAGAGCTCAAACTGACTAAAGCTGTTGCCCTGTACAACAGAGATCAGCAACCTGAGTACCAATCGGAAGAAAATTCGACACAGGCAATTCAGTGTTCGCATCTATTTAAATGTTTACAAAATAATTTTAGTTTGTAGAGTAGCTGGTCGCAGTCACTGCACCTATAGGCAGGGGTGCAGATATTAAATTTATGGCTATAATTGTATGTGTCATATATAGTTATATTCTGTCAACTCTGTTACAGAGAATGAAATGCATGAAATAATGAACAATTTTGAAGCTCAGGATATTCCTGGCTTTCCAAGAGTTATTGGAGTTATTGATGGAACCCATATAAAAATAAGAGCGCCAACAGTGCAGCCAGATTCCTACATTAACAGGAAGAAATTTCATTCTCTTAATACCCAGGTGAGCTTCTTTTTCAAGTTTATATATACCGTAGACGAGTCATGATGCTGTAAGTGGTAGTTTTGTTGGAGAACAGTGTTTTAGGCAAGACCTAAAGGCAGAGTAACTTTGAAAATGATAACATTACCTAACAGCTGTTACTCTACTACAAATGCATTTGACTATAATCTGTATGCTAGTGTTTATTCTTTATTGTCTTTTAATGCATAGGTTGTATGTGATGACAACATGGTTTTTAGAGATATTCTTGTGGGTTGGCCAGGTTCAGTACATGACTCAAGGGTCCTGAGGAATTCATCTCTGCAAGCCACAGCAGTGCACAAGTTTCCAGGAGACAAACATCTGTTAGGAGATGGAGGTTACCCATTGAAGAGGTTTGCCTTAACTTTGAAATTGAGTGGTTACAGTTCAGGATTTTCTCTAAAAGCTGTACACTCTAGTGTTTACTACTTGTCTTGAGTATTATGCTCTGGCAAAACTGTGCTAACAAAGTTAGCTCATTGCCCTTGATTAAGCTGATTTTGCCACAGAATGGCAAAGGGCAGCCCCACCTTCCTCACAGTCTACTGCATAGAGAGTAAAGAATGCTCAAACACAACAAGATAATTCCTGAATTTTTGACTTGATTGGCTGCTGTTATTATGACTGTTACATTGATAGTGAAAAGAATATCAAGGATATGAGTGTGATATTCTACTTTTTCATTAGGTGGTTAATAACCCCTTTCAGAGACAATGGCCACCTGACTGCCAGACAGAGGAGATTCAATTACAAACTTTCCATATTGAGATCTATTGTAGAACGCTCACTTCAACTCCTGAAAGGAAGGTGGAGAAAACTACTATCTCTCGTGCACATGGATATGGAGCTACTTGTTCATCTAATTATGTCCGCATGTGTTTTACACAATTTTTGCCTAGTGAATGATGACTTTGATGAAGGCTACTTTTTAGATTGTGGTGATGGTGCTGATGATGATGATGGAGGAATTGATGGTGATCCTCATGCTGGCCCACTACCAACAGCAGAAGCCAAGCGAGTGCAATTAATGAACATTGTGTGTTAAAAGGCAATTTAAGCTATTAACCTACCGGTATATGCTTTCTCGAGTTCATTATGGTATATGATGGCATTATGGTCAAACTGCTTTACATACACATTCATTTTAGTAGTCTGACGTGTCTGCCATGTCGTAAAACCACTCCCTAGACTAAAACCAAGTGTACTGTTTTAACCAGTCTTTCAGTGATTTGTTTAAATAAATAGCACAAATATGACAAAATGAACTGGTGCAGGTATTTTACGTGGATTATATAATAGACCATTTTACAACTACATGTATATGCTGAGCAAGTTTGACTTTGGGGCTGACTGTGACCTTGTTTTCATGTTTGAAAAGTTGTGAAGATTCTATCAAAAAAAAATCTTGGCTTAAACAGCTTGGTGCCTTGCTTCCACTTAAAGACTAGGTTGCTTAGAATACATCTGAACAATTGACCTAAATTACTTGCATCACCTGTATTTTTTAACATATTATATACACTAAATATCAAATATGTTTGGTTTAACATCTGAACTGAATATACAATTTTCAGCTGTAAGAGCTGACTTCCATAAATGTTGAAAACATCATTTCAGTTTTCAAAACACCTCTGACAAAATGATAAGCAAGTTACGCAGATTACACTTCAATGCAGTGTGACTCTTGTTGGATGCAGAACTTTTGACTGATTGTATACAATGCAAGTCTTGCAAGGGGAATAAATAGTTTTACGTGCAACCACAAAGGTTATCAAAAACAAGAATCTTAAGGAAAAGAACACAACAGAATCAAGGTGAGTCTAAAATGTGTATATTTAGGTTGACAGTCAAGCAAAACAGCACAAATTAGATACATTTGCCTCCTGCCAGACAATCAATGATTGGCTTGTCCAACAACACCAAATGGAGGAGAACTGTTATGAGAGAAGCCAAATGATTGCTTTTGAGGGGACTTACTAAGCCGAGGTAAACTGAGAACTTAAAAAAGCAGGGTCAAAGAGAGTAAAAAGTAAACGCAACATTATAATGTTTATTAATTTGTGTAAATTGCTAACATTATGTTATGTAATACAGAAAATGTTAATATCCTGTTGAGGACATTGTAAAAAACCCTTTCGGATGATAGACATTCTTATAAACCATATGGCAAAGTCTTCAACACAACTAAGATGGTGACAAATAATAATAAATATTTCTTCATTGACCGTGTCTACTTCCAAATTACAAATAATGTTGTTCTTAATTTTGGGTTTCTTAATTTGTCTTATGGTCCCTTTAAATCACAAGAGAAAATAACAAGAACATAACAAGACAATAGCTAGGCTGTTCTAACTGGACAATACTAAGAGTGAAATTCTTTATTGAACAGCTCTCTTTTAGGGATGTTTGTGGGGGACAAGGAGCTGCAAAAGTTGCATCAGAAAATCATTCATTCGTACAGCATGTCATGAAGTTGTACAAGCAGGTGCTCAGGAGTTTTAGATAGCAAATACAGCAATGCACCTGTAGCTTATGCCCGACCATGGTCCCTGAAATGCTAATACAGTGCAAAATACATTGTTGTTTCTTTTCCAAATTAATGAGGTTATGTTATTAACTTACAAAATGAAACCAAATGTCAAAAAAAAGTTAATTGGACAAAACATGCTTTGCAAATGAGGGTTAATGAATCATGAAATCTGTGACTTTGCTGTCACAAGCTCTAAACTCTGTGATAGAAAGAAAACGCAATGAGACTTCGAGATCAGAGATCAAATATTTTCAGGGCCTGTTTATACAAGGCAAGCCAGCCCAGTTAGCCCTGCTGGCCCGCTTTACCAGGCTGACTTGGCCCATGCCTTGTTTCCTCATGAAATTGTGTTTGTTTACATCAAAAGGCAGGCTGGCGCTGCTGAGATCCCGGTTACTTGAACCGAGATGTCAACAAAAGAACGAGCCTGCCTTCTTATATAAACACAACAAAAACTTAAAGAGAAATTAGGTATGAGCCAAGCCAGCCCAGTAAAGCGGGCCAGTCCTGCTCCCAGGCTGGCTCACCTCATATGAACAGCCCCTCAGAGACCTACCATTTTCTAGGTACCATTTGCTGGCTATAAAGCTATACAAGCTCTCCTTGTAATGGTGCAATAAAGGCCATTTTGTATTAATTATAAGGATGCTTGTTCAATATATATATATATATATATATATATATATATATAAAGAGAGAGAGAGAGAGAGAGAGGGGGGTGAACTTAACATACATCCTTAAAGTCCATTTTCGTTTACCTTACACCCCATGCGTTTCCCACCTCACCACACCCATACAGGGAAGGTTCATCACTAAAAGCAGTATTACTAACACCGCGCATCACTCTAGTTATTTTTACTTTTTTCCATTTTGGTCATTCATTTCTTTTAAGATTCTCAGCTTTTCTTCCTCTGCCTTCTCTCGCTTCTCACTGTAAGTCTTTAGAAATTCTAGCATTTCCGCCGCGGAGGATCGGCTCATTGGCTTCTCTTGGCATCTTTTCTTAGCACTTGCTTTTCTTTTTCCGGCAGAATCACTGGATTGCGGACCTTCAACTACAGACTCTGAAGAAGATTCATCGTCGTCTGATGGTTTTCGACCGTCACAGTCTAATGGATTTGACGAGCTTTCCATCGTGTACGTAGGTTTTACGGAAACGTCTTTGCCAAGACATTGAGAAAGCTCATTGTAAAATTTCCAACTTTTCCTATCGTTTCCGCTTTTATTGTTGTGGTCCTCAACTTCTTTTTGCTTTGCCAGTAGTTTAGACCACTTCCTCATACACTGTTCCCCAGTAACCAGTCGTCCAGAAGTGGCGGTGAATTGCTCCGCTTTCTTGTCGAAAATTTCCTTCTTCGTACTTTTCCCGCCAAACAAATGTTTATGATCGCTCCAGATAGAAATGAGAAGTCTAACATCAGCATCCTCCCACCGTTCAACTTTCGAAGGACCGTCTGACATTTCAGAGCATACAGATGGAGAAGGAGAAGCTGTAGAACGTTCAACGGTTGGAACGGTGACTGCAAAGTATAAGGATGAAAGTTTTCTATCAACGCATGAACACGAATGAAATCGCGGGAAACTGTGAAAGAAAGCTCCCAGTAAAATTCGACTTTTCTAGCGATGTAAAGCGTCGGACATTTCACCTACCATTTACATATGCAGCACAATTATGATTCATAAGGCTAACAAGATCGTCGGTAAGCATATGACAAGATGCACATTCGTAAATATCTGCATTCAGCTCTGGAGTGTCCTTTTGATCCGCCATGATTGTTGTTGAGCTTGCATATTAATTGACCGTGAGAGCCTGAAACTGGTACCGAAGATGGCTTTGAAGAAATGGAACACGAATTTCCGTTTGGAACATTCCGTCCGGAAAAACAGGACCACCTTTTTAGATTTTCCACTTTTTCTGGGAATTTTCCAGTGGGACGAGCCGACGAAACGTGTTCCATTTATCACCGAACCAGAAATTCCGGAAATTTTGACTAAATGGAAAGCGCCCCACGTGACCGTACACCGCCCGCAGCCCGCCCGTCCGTCCGCACCACAGGACAACCAATGTTCAATCTCACACTTTCTAGCTAGCTCAGGAAGACTGATATTGCACACATATTGTACATCAATGTTGTGGTCAATTGACAGCTGTCAAAACAGGGTATCCGCTGACCAGTATCACCTGACCGTATCGTGGGCTCAGGTGTCGACACATCGAGGTCGAGTATCTTTTTGAAGTTATCCGCTGACAAGTTACTAGTTTTCAAATGATCGCAGGCTCAAATTTAATTTTTTTTAATTCATATGAAATATGTTGTGTTTTATATGTGTCGCACAATTAAAATTTTGATTTCAAACTGACCTCGGAAGCTAAAATTCAGCCAGTTTTTACAGGCAGGGAAGACATGCCAGTTGCTTTTGACTTTTCTCAACAAGGTCACGCGTTGGTCACGCTCTACGTCCAATTTTTATGCTCTGATTGGTCAAAATTTGACAGGTGAGTTCATGCGGAAAATTTATGCAGCATCTTGAAACTTGTTTACTTTGACAGCTGAAGCTGACAGAGTTTTGTGCCAACTTGTGATGTTTTTAACTGTCTTTCTCCGCTTAATGTACAAAATGAAATTCTGCTGCTATCAAGAGTCTTCTGTTATTCATAGCTAGTTTGTTTATTGGGTTTTTGGTTGAGAAATACGTCGCTTGTCAAAGTCGGAAATCCGATTTCGGATGGCATCGTTTTCGTTTTTCACCTTGCTTGATGCGTAAGAGGGTTGAAAAGTCTGAAGCGATTCTGGCCTTACTTGATAGTTTTCAGAGCATCTCGAATGGTAAGCCTGAGTAATTATTGTATTTGATGTTTGTTTTTTATATGTAATTTAATGAAGTCGGGCGTAGTTTATGCGGCTATTTAGTTTATGCACGTTTGTAAGATTTGAGACAATGATCGGACCGAGTATCAGGTTTCATTATAAGCTTATAGAACTGTAACCGAACTTTAAAAAGCCTTCAGACATTTTCTCACTGCAATTAGAAAGAAAACGTTCCAAAGAATATTTAGTTATAATTCTAGCTGTAAAAGAAAGCTTTGAGCGATTTTCTTGCCTCGAGTTCATCTTTGAAAAAAGCAAACGCCGGGAAGCCGGCTTAAAACATAAACAAGGATTTTCAGAGACACTTTTTACTTGTCTTCGTGAATGAAAATTGTTGTCTCTGTATATGTTTCACCGAATTATTATCCTTTTATTGATTGTTAGTTGTCTCTTTTGCAATTTTAATCGCTGTGCCGTTTGTTTTCAGTCGCTCACGAACATCGCTTGCAGGAGTAGTCAAAATGCCGCTTGTATCAAACGCTTTTGAAGACTACACATAGTCATAAAATCGTTAAATAAAGAAATAAACCTAATAAATTTTTTATCATGTTAAAGCGTATAACTCTATTGATCTTGATTTAAACAGTAGACTTTGGCGCTTGTCAAAAGTGAGAACCGGCAAGCCGTATAGGTGATTTTAGAAATTTTTTTAACGGTTTTGATAAAAGTCCACGCGTGCTTCGATCGACCTGAATGTTGAATGAGTACAATTTGTATTGCAAAATTGTGATCTGTCCGAGGTCTGTATGATAAAAACAGTGCCTCATGGTACTGTTTCACCTCAGATGATGTATAACAAGTATAAAGGCTAGTTTACACGTCCCCAGACTTGTTAGCAAGATTTTGTAAAATAAATTGTAAACTTGTCGAACGCAAAAAATTGGGCCTGATTTGTTTTCCGAGAATTTGTTTTCCAGGCCTAATCTACTGTGATCAAGAGCCATTTTTATGGCTCTTGAATGTGATCGAAGATGATTGCTATTTTTTGGGTGTACATATAAGGCTATCAACTCGATGTAAGATTAAGTTCACTCTTAGCTTAGACTGTTTGCAAATTATTTTTCTCTAAAATCACTTAGCCTTTCCCTCAAAAGTCACATGAATGTGCTCTAAAGTTAACCGATTTGTAAAATACAATTGCAAGTTTATTTTTTGATTTAAATTATAAATTCGAGTTAATAGGAGCTTCGCTTTTAGCCCTGGCTAAATCTATATATTACTTCTAAAGCTATGGCAGTAATAAAATGTGGAAACCAACGCTTTGATATTAAGAAGGGCTGGGTAAGTAACTTGTTCTGTTTTTTTAGCCTTTCTAAAGTCATTGTTTGCAGATCAATAACCGGTTTTGTTTATGGCTCGTGGTCCGGATGCCTTTTTCTATGGGTTTACCGGTATAATAAACCATAGGTTTTTGACCAATCAAATCACGCGTACTATCTCAGTTATTTTATAAAGGCCCAATATCACAGATCCGAAAACTTGCAGCGTACAAGCCGAACGTCGTCGGAATTCGTGAGTATGTTTTGACCAGCAAAAATGTTACTTTTTTAGAGTAACAAGTATCACTTTACTAGGTTCCTTGTCTACTCTTACCAAAGCTGAGTCAGTTGAGTGGTTTTCAATTGTTTGTCATCAGTCACGTTAAGTTTATTGTAAACGGCAAAAGTGAATCTGTACCACGTGACCAAGTTTTCCCTTTACTTGATGTTTGCTGTTCATTACTTCTACAAAAAAGTGAATTGTTTCAAGTCAGTTTTATCCATAAGAACTGCTTTGAGCTGTTTTTACCCGTCATTTTTTTTAATTTTGAGATATTCTCAATTTGAATCTGACGTTTGCCGTTTGCCGTAAACGTGACTCTGAAGCTGTCTGTCGTTAAATTACTTACCAGCATCCAGGAAATGGTTCCAGGGAAAAAGTTGAAAAGCTGATCTTCAGCGCCTTTCCGGATGGAATGGAAACGTTGTACACGCAGTGCATGTTATCTGGGTAATGTCCTGGAAATCCAGGACTTGTCAAGGCGTTGTTTACCACAGAACCACATCCTATAAAATCAGATTTTAATTTTACACGTAGACTTGTGTTCTCTTAATCAATACAGAACCAGTTAAGGGTCTCGCCCTCAATGTTCCTTTTTCTAGTTGCTTTTTCGAAAGTTTTAGATGACATAACAAACTAAACGAATTTCCTAAATCCCACTATTTTCCCACTAGTTTAAAAATGTAATGTGGCAAACTTACAGGATATTACCTGAAATCAAATCCAACCTAGGGTGACTGAGATTTTGTACACGATAGGTGGATCACGAATATTGCCAAAAAAAAAAAAAACTTAAAGAAGAAAAGTTGCCAGATGTTTGGAAGTTAAACACTAGTTTTCTCCATGTCAGCTGATTGGGTGGACGGACAGGAGAAAAATAGGGGCGTATAGTATATTCTGCGCGATAAAAATACATGCAAACCCCCATAAGAGAGCACAAAAAATGCAGACTCATGGCCGCTTAAGGAGATGTCCGAACACAACTTTTTTCATGGAAGATAAGTTATTGCAAGTGTGTAGTTCCATATTTTGCTAAAGTTCTCCGTATATTCCTATTAGCATAGTACACACTGCCAAAATAGAGATCAAACAATGCTTGAAGGACCATGAAGAGGTCGCTTACAAGAGGTTAAAACCAATGGAAATCATTAAACCGTAAGACCCAAATAGTGTGGTCGCAGTAGCTTACAGGAGGTGGTCGTTTACTAGAGGTACCAACTGGGAACGTTTTGGTGTTTTGGTTAGATGGTCGCTTACGAAAAGTAGTCACTCACATAGGTTGGACTATACAATATACTCACTTGAATCAGCACTCTGAGCTGAACTGTAACACAGCATCAGCGATAGCACAAATACAAACTTCATCCTCCTGTTTAAGTAAAACGTGATGTTAAGGTGTTGTTCAGAAGGGCGCGGGGGAGGAGGATAAGCAGAATCAATGAATGCAATTGTTGCAATTGTTGAATAAAATAATTATTAACTCTTCTTTCCCTTTTTTAATAACTTCGTGGAAAACAATCAGGGGTACCCAACGACGGTTTCCTTCAAAATACCTTGAAAACACTCTTTAGGCTATCCAGAGTACTTTTAGATCTCTAGAAATGCATTCTAAGCGGCGTTACAAAATTTTTATCTGTTCGGTCATCCTAGGGGAATTTAGGTCTTTTCGAAATTACAAGGGCTTCAGTATTTTTTTCCGAAAATTTTATGTGTAATTTAATGTTTTACGAAAGTAAGAATTTTTCTGATTCCTCTCTCCATCACATTTTAGAATCCGAAAATTTTAGGTTTCGTTTTTCTAAGAAAAATAAAGTAACCTGGGTAGTAAAATATTAAAAATTAAACTTCTGAAAATCGTAGGGGATTTATTAGAAAAGCTTGGAAAATTGTAAATGAATGGAGCGTTCATCTAGAAATTTTTAGCCGTCCTTAAGCAAAAAAAAATTTTAGGCAATATTTGCTTCTCAGAACAGATATTTTACAGAAAACAGTCGTTGGGTGCCCCTGAACAATACTCTGCGATGGAGTGATAAAGATATAAAATAAGATAAAATTACCGCTTTCAACAACAGGAGGAAAATCTGGTTATATTATAACTTTGATGAGAATCTGTAAGCCCAAATGGAGAGAAAACTAACACGCGACTAACAAAACGCTGTGGCAAAAGTGCCGAACAGTGAGCACAGACGCATTACAATTGCTTGTTGAAACTTGTATGCAAATTTGGTATTCCCTTTCCCCCGCTTTTACAGAAACGAACGAAAATTCTGAACCATTTGTGTGGATAACCAGTGCCAGGCTTCCCTCTAAGAAGAAAATGGAAAATTTAGTGGCATTTTATGGTTGGTGCAACTCAATCCCGTTACTTTTTCTCGTACCAAAAAAAAAACTACCATTTGAGTTTGACGGAAAATTGTCACTGAGATCTCCGTATTTCCGTATGCGTTTTAGCCAACAGCTGTTTTCATTTTGACTAAGTGGGTAAAAATAATGTTCGAACAATTTTTAAATTTTCGCGTTTTATAGACATCACTATTTACTCCCTCAAGTCATTTAACGTCTGAAAGGCGGACAGCAAATATTTATGAATTTAGATAATTTTATTTTCAAATGATCCCCAGGCTACATTTAATGACACCTCTAATTGGTGCGAAGATCACGGCATATGCCATCAGTTGCACTATACACGAAGTCACTTTATTCGGTTTAAAAGGAAACTATTGGAATAGAAATAGTCACACAAAAAGGAATTGCTTCGGTCCATGATTATTGATATTAAAGAAAACAAGAAATGGGCGATGAATAAAATTACAACATTTTAAATTTAGTAATGGTATCCCTGGCAACCTTTATTCTTAAAATGACATACAAAAGGTGGCAAAAAGACCAATTATGGATTAACAGTCAGTCCGCTAGAAATAAACACCAGCATCTGTTTCGGGTCACATGTATTGTCGCGTGTTCACTTCCGTTTTAGTTGTGCTGGTTTTCGCTGCGTTTTCACCCGTTCTTTTCGAACATCTCGGTCTTCAGCTTTTCCTTTTTGACAATGCTTGATGTGGTGCAATTTACCCATGGTTTGATTTTTTTTTTTTTTTTTTTCCTTTTTTTTGCAATTCATTGTCTTACAATTCTGAGCAAGATTGCGAGAGCTGATTGGCTAACTGAATTGATTAATGGCGTGGAACGCACCGTTTTCAGTTTTTTTCACGCGTTGATGGCATCTTTTCTCTTCAGCGATGTTCTTTAAAAATAGTCAGAGTTTTTTAACTTTAAATTAATTTACAATGTGATTAAACTTTCATTTGAAATCTTAATATTCAGTTTTGCTGATGTTGCTATTTGAAAATAAAATATATTTCTAAACGTTTTGCAGCTGGGACCGTTGTTGTTCAAATAGAAATCGTCGCTTTTGCAATGCAGAGCACTCAGCTTAGTTCGAGTATTCAAAGGTTTAGAGACTTCTTGTTCTTGCTCTCTTCTCAGGATGGAAAAAGACCAGACACGAGAGATCGGCGGAAATAAAGCCGAATGAATGAACCCACAAGATGAGTGTACAAAGACGGAAATCATATGTCATACTGCGCCTTGCTCGGTATTTGAACTTCTCTTTTTCTTTACGGCCAACCTGTCCGTGTTTTTGCTGGTAAGGCACTGACTCGGATAAAGGCGGATTTCCACTGTCGCATAATTTTTACGTGGGTACGCACTTAAATTTTACGCTCCCAAATAAAATAGAGAAAATGTATGAAAGGTCACGCGTAAACGTAAAAGTTGAACCTCGCTCAACTTTCACGTTTTACGCGTGGCCTTTCATACACTACCTCTATGTCATTTACGCGCGTAAATTTTGCCTGCGCTCGCACGGAAAAATTACGCGACAGTCTCAACCCTTAACTCAGTACAACTTTCAGAAACAGAGAATAAATTAAATTGAAACCGAGGATATAGAATTGAACAACTACATGTGCATATTTCCATTTTCCGGAAAAGTCCACGAGCGAGACTCTTCTGTATATGTGCTCGTGTAGGATATTTACCCTGGCTGGCCCGCAGTACTGAAGAACACGGCATTGACACTACAATCAGGTTGAGGCCTACTGTTTAAAAGTAACATAACTCGATATAACATACATTCCCCCGCCGTTTTTTTGTATTTTCTTTTTATATAAAAGCTATATGCCTATTGTACTTTGCTTTTAAAGTTTAGCATAAACCATTGGCCTTAAACTGTACTACAATCATGAGCTCTGATCAACTTTTACCGGCAGCAACTCTTCCTTTCTTCTCAGTCTTATAATTAATGTTAGACGGACATTCATGAAATAAAAAAGGGAAAAAAACAAAAACAAAACAAACAAACAAAGAAAAAGTAAATTAAGTTAAGGATATTCCTTTCGTTTCATGGAAAATAGTTTTTTAAGTCTCAAATACCTGAAAAATCATACAGCATTAGAAATGTTGACCCTGAGTTTTAGCCTTAGGGAAAGCTTGAAGCTGAAGCAAAAATTCTGTTTTATCAACAGGAACTTTGAAAAGTTTCCAGCAGCTGTTTGTAACAACTTTGAAAGCTAAAAGCGTTTGATTGAAACAAGCATTAAGTAAAGCGTCAAGTAAATCTGAAAATTGCAGGAAATTCACCTCATTGAAATGGATCTCAGCAGGTATTTACAGTGTTATAGACTGGAGCTATTAACTATTTTTGTATCCCTTTTGAAAGGGAAAAAATATAAAATAACGTGTTGAAAAAAAAAAGAAAATACCATTTTACCCTCTGTAGAAAAGAATCAAATTTTACCAAAAGATTTCATGCAGATAAATTTCGCATAATTTATGAATGCATTTTAATAAAATAACAGTTTATATACGGCTATTTCGAGAGAGGTTGTCGGGAAAAATGTGCACGCGACAATCTCGAAAGGTAATATGGGATATGATCAATACACTGTTCCTGACGACTGTAGCTGTCGAACCTACTTTTGTTGCTTTCCTTTAGCACTCGCAAACACATTTCTATGGCCTTTCGTCCCAATTCTTTCAAATTTCTTTGAAAAACAGAGAACTCAAAACCACCCACAATGCCTTTCAGGAATTATTGCGTGCACTTTTCGCGACAACCTTTCTCGAAATAGCTGTCTATTTTGCAATAAAATTGTGTTTTTTGAGGGAAAAGCTAAATAAAAGCAGCTTCCTCTGACATCAGACACCGATAATATGCCTCAAATAATGAACGATGCATAATTCACTATAAATTATAACGCCACCAGCTTCGATTCAGATTAATTTAAAAACTTTATCGTCAATTTGTGGTTCAACTCCCAATATTTACTTAGTTCTAACGCATTTAAAAACGTGTATCCGATAATCATGAGCACGTACGTGTACTGGAAGTGAGGCCCAAGAATTGATAACGACCAGGATGTATTCAAGCTTTTTCAGGGGCGACGGGGGGGGGGGGTGAGAGTCCTTTATCTTATTTTTATACTGACAAATGTTCATGAAAAATGACGCCTCTTCCGGTATTACTACAACCCCGGACAAAACTATTGAGACAATTCCATCTATTTTCTAACTTTGGCGCCCTACTCCTGTCTCCTCTAAACAGAAAAAGTAAGCCCCCTCCCCACCCTTTATTCAAAGTTGTCTTGGTCTAAAAACCAACGTGTATAATTGCCATGCTATCCTAAACAACTTTGGATAAGGGGAGGTGGGGAATCGGGCATTCATTTGGCGGAGGTTTCAGTTTTTGCCAGGATGATAGGAAAAAATAGGCATTTTAGCGATTTGTCTCAACAGGTTTTGTCCGGGGTTGTAGGTGCTGATCTAAGGCCAGTTGCATAGATATAACAAATGCATAGTTACAGTCAACTTATGTAGTTGCGAAAAAAAGCCTGAAGAAAATTGGGGGCTTGCCGGGATTAACACGACTGCGATACCGACGCAGGGCTCTAAGCAATTTGCGACGGCAAGCCACGTAACTGGGAGGTGATCATTAAATTTGTTCGTATTATACCCGGGAAAGATGAAGATGAAATGACAAATATATGAATTTCCTATATTGGAACCCCGGAATGTGGAAATAAATGCAAGATTGTTCCTGTTAAAGACGCAACGTTTTCCCGCGAAAAGCGCTGCACCAGCATCGTAGAGGTCATGGTTCGAATTGCAGCAAGCCTGAACTTTTTCAAGCTTGCTGGGATTTATTGCTATATGAATTTCATATATTGTAACTGCGGATTGATAACACCACCACGATGCATGTAGCCTCGTTTTGAAACTGAGAGTTTTTGGAACTCGGAAATGCCAACGTCTGTCGTACAGCTATGTCAAACCCTGTAGTCTAACGCCCAACAGTAGTAGTTATGAAATGATGAATATATTGTATAAACCAACATACAAACTGGCCCATGACCGTTGAAATTGTACCTAATTAAGGCCTCCACAGTTCATATTTGTTT